GTTGCCTTTCCTGCCCCCTACTATAAATCTGGGGGTTTGTGGCCCCAACTTTGGCTACCCTCTCCTTACGGCCTCCTCAGTCATTGGACATCTTCTATCCAAAGTATATGGTTAGTTCGCAAAGTCAGGCAAGCTTCTTTGTTATTGATTGGGTTGGAGCTGGCAATTCTTCATATTTTTCATTTGTCTTTCTTTTCTTCTTGTCTTGTTTGTAGATGGAAAGGCTAAATAAATAATTTTGAATTGTGTTGTGATTTATAGATTGCCGTAAAATGTGGTGAATAAACAATGAAGACCTAATTTCTCATCTACCTTGTTTATGTTAAATTTACTTCCTGATGTCAGGAATTTGATGGAAGTAAGTGGGGGATGAGCAGATTTTTAGTAACAGAGCCATCTTATTGGGCAGAACCTACCCTGGTTATCTCTACAGCATGACAGTGTGTGCATGTCCCTGTTCCTCTTCCCCCACCCCCCACTCCCACACACAAGGATTCATGACCATAAGAATTATACTGTTAGTTGCCATCTAGTTGGCTTGGACTCATGGCGACCTCATATATAACAGAATAAAACGTTGCCCAGTCCTGCACCATCTCACGATCTTTTATGTGTTTGAGCTCATTGTTGTGGCTATTGTGTCAATTCATCTGTCATTTAGGGATTCCCTCATTTTCGCTAACCCTCTGCTTTACCAAAAATGATGTCCTTTTCTAGGAATTGGTGTTTCTTGATGATGTATCCAAATTAAGCAAGATGAAGTTTCACCATTCTCACTTCTAAGGCGCATTCCAGTTTTATTTCTTCTAAGACTGATTTGTTCATTCTTCTGGAAGTCCATGGTATATTCAGTATCAGTGACATTACTAGGGTTGGTGTCATCCAGTGCAGTAGCTCATGGTGTCACCTCCCCCCCATGGACCTCCTCCTGTACCAGACCATACAGAATCCTTAGTAATGTTTACTATCAATTTTAATCATATATAGTTGTAAACTGCTTAAATGTAATATTTCTTAAATTATATGAATACTAACAACAAAATTGTTTTGTAAAATCTTTCTACTTGAATTACATTATTAGTTACAACATTATTAGTAAATGAGCAGAAGTCTCTTATTATTTTTCTCCTGCTTTTCCTTTAATTACTACTTCATTCTCAAGAAAGTTGTTGATATAGGTTCACAAATACTAATTACCACAATATTGTAGCTAAAACACCAGAAAATTTGACAAAATCAACTATAAAAACACTGGCAACAAGGAAAACAACAGTGCGTGCTTGTAGCACGTGCAGACGAAACCACGTGATTCAAAGTGTCATTGTAATTGGGTAATAATGACAGCTCTAACCAAAGCACATTAGAAGGTTCAAAAAGTAAATTAGCATAAAGTTTTAGGCTTGTAGGTATCTGGATACATGTAAGCTGGGCTTATGAAAAATGTTTTTGTTGTTATAACTACAGGGATATTTTCATGAAACACTGCACAAAAATTTTATAGACAGTCATTTTAGTGTCACCCCCTCTGACAGGTCACCCAGTGTGGTCTGCAACCCCCGCACCCCTCAAGTGGTGCCACTGTTAGGTATTCTTTGCCAACACTACAATTCAAATGCATCAACTCTTCTTCTGTCTTCTTTTTTCATTGTCCAGCTGTCACATGCATATGAAGTGATTGAAAAGACCTTGGCTGGGGCCAGGAGCACCTTAGTCATCAAAGTGATAGCTCTGCTTTTTAGAACTTTAAAGATTCATGACCATAAGAATTGTATTAGAAGATACGTAATGAAAAGATTTATATTGGCTAGCCACTACCATCAGTAAACCCGAGGTGAATTGATAGGTAGGTGGTGATATCCTATTTTGGTAAACAGAACACTGGTATTCTCATTAGAAAATCAGTGGGAACCAAAGGTGAGATGGCTTGCCTTTGTAGCATGTATTACCCTTGTTTCTAATTATAGCATTGTAATTTTATTTTAGGGAAGTATCCTTCCAAGGTCTCAGCGTATGTAGTCTGTTGTTGTTAGTTGCCATTGAGTCAGCTCCAACTCATGATGACTCCATGTACAACAGAATAAAACATTGCCCGTTCCTGTGTCACCTTCACAACTGTTGGTATGCTTGAGTCCACTGTTGTGGCCACTGTGTATTTTGAGTGCCTTCCAACCTATGGGGCACCGTTTCCAGCACTATATTCGGCAACAGTCTGTTGTGATCCATAGTCTCAATTGGTTAATTTTTGGAAGTAGATTGCCAAGACTTTTTTTCCTGGTCTGTCTTAGTCTGGAAGCTCTGCTGAAACCTGTCTACCACAGGTGAGCCTGTTAGTATTTGAAATACTGGTGGCATAGCTTCCAGCATCATAGCACCATGCAGACTGTCACAGTCTGACAAACTGAAAGATAGGTGGTGGCTATGTGGTTTAGATGGGGCTTAACCCATCCTTTGGCTCCACAGATGGTGATGTGACCCAGGCTGAGCTAATCAGTGCTTAATCTTGTGATCATGGTTGATTCAGGGGTGAATAAGTGATCAAAGCTGGTCCTCAGAGCCAATTAGCATCATTCTTTGGACTTCGGCTATACTTTTTGGGAAAGAGAAGTTTTGTTTTCATGGAGTGGCTAAGCTGGCAGGACATCACTTAAGAGGTGCTGCTGGCCATGTTCATCACCACCTGGGAAGTCCACCTAAAGATGAAGTCCACTCAAGGAAACCAGGACTGAAGGATGGACAGAATCCTGATGACATAATTTGTGCTCCTAGGTCCAGTTGTTAGACTACCCTCTGAACTTTTCATTACATGAGTCAATAAATTCTTTTTTGCTTAAACCAGTTTGAGTTGGGGTTCTATCACTTGTCGCCAAATGAGTCCTGATAAATACAGGATTTTCTTAGGTCATAAGAAATGAGTAGGCCTGTCTACAAATGCTGTCTGAGTGGGTCTATTATCAGGCTCTACAATTATAATTATCATATATTGCTGGATACTGTGCAAATTGCTTAAATATGTCATCTCAATATAAAACATTTTCTCTTAAGCCATATGTCCAAGAAGTGGGTGCGATGCTTCTATTTCATCTAATGCCCTATCCACTTCTTTTTTTGCTTTCCGAACTTTTAACACTGGAATTGGTTTAGAGATTTTGGTATTTTATGATGAAATGTTCCCACAGCAAACACAATGATTTAAATAAATTGATAGCTGAAACTTGGCCATTTCAGGCTTTTCATGCCACTCAACAAATGGATCTAAAAAATGAGGCTTTTTGTGTTGGCAGGCTAATTCTGTCAAAGGAAAATAGAGTTGCTGCTCACATCAGCAGCGTGTGATGGAATCCAGAGCATTTCTTACTGGAGGTTCCTTAGTCTTGATATGTCCACTGATAATAGCTTGTCAAATAGTACAGCATTCCTAAACTGCTATCATTCATAGGCAAGACCAGCAAGGGAACAGGTCCTTCATGAATGAATGGATCACTTCAGTAGGTCAAGAACTCTGATCAGCTAAGCTCCTGACTGACATCAAAGGGAATATGGAATACCAGATACGTTGAACAGATGCAGCCATACAGACTGTAGCCTATAATAATTTTTTTCTTTATTGTGTCATGTACTTATTTAATTTCCCTTTTTCCCTAATATAGCATTTAGGGTGTGTTATTATACTAAAATGTAACTCCCCTGGTGTCAAATATTGAAACAGGATTGTGGCAGAACTGGGGGAAGAATATTTATCACCCAGAGATAACTGACTTGAAACTGGATGCAGAAACCAATGACACTTTAGGTTGTCCACCTTTGGGGAGTAGATGGTGGGTTTTCAGTTACAAGGAGGATAATTGCGTGATTTTAGCAGGGAGTTTTCTGGTTTTGGAAACCCTGGTGGTGTAGTGGTTAAGAGCTACATCTGTTAACCAAAAGGTGGGCAGTTCGAATCCACCAGGTGCTCCTTGGAAACTCTATGGGGCAGTTCTACTCAGTCCTATAGGGTCACTATGAGTTGGAATTGACTTGACAGCAATGGGTTTGGTTTGGTTGGTTTTTGTTTTTGCTTTTCCTTTGTCTGGCAATCTATGAACGTGTTGAGGCTTGGTGGAAGCTGCTTGTTACCAAAGCCAAAAGGGGCACAATGACCCTCTCTGCATGCCCTGGAAGGTAAAGCACAAGTGCATGACCTGAGCTTGATGAGGCAGATGCTCCTGCTAGGACTCAGGATCTGGAGACACAAAGCAGCAGAAACAGTTTAAAATCATTGTAGCGGCATCCAAGGTCAGTGGTGATAGCGCCAGTGGCGGTGTCCAATGTCCAATGGCTATAGTGTTAGCATCTGGGATGCTTCTGATGGGACGAGTGGCTGTGCTTCTGCTGTTCACCTTGTCCCTGCCTGCGGTCCAAGCCTGCTTCTTCAATTTTCTTACTGATTTTGTGCTAGTCAATAACCTTCAACAAATTCTTTTTCTGCTTAAGTCATCCAGAGTCAGTTTCTGTTGTCTGCAACCAAGAATACTGATTGGTCCAGTTTTCAATCCAATAGCAGAGCAAAGAAACCAAATGCATTCAGTCTTGGTCTGTGATGTAAATTAGAAACTTTGATTTCTTTGTTCTCTTTCCTTGACTGTTTCCAGATTCCTATCATTCAGTGCTTAGATTTTGTATTGCAAAGCATCTCTTTTGGTCACTTGCCCAGTTACAGAGGAGGGAAATCTCCAGTCCTGTCTCCCTGATACTTCAGTTTGTACACCTGACACTATATAACAGAAAATTAAAAAAAAAAAAAAAAAAAACCTCAAACCTGTTGCCATCGAGTCGATTCCGACTCATAAATTAGGACCTTAAAAACAGAGGTCATTCCTGCCCTCCTGTTACATAAGAATACATGCTTACTTAAAAAAAATTGGAAAATAGAGAAAAAAATGTTTATAATCATGCAATCCAGAAAAAACCCGGCTGCACAGCCCTGATATACAGAACAATGGGGGCGGGGGGTGTGCTGCTCATAACCCTGTGCCAGCCAGCCCTCTGTGTGCCATCATCATGCTTTTAAGAGCACTTCCAATTTGTCTGGTGTTCCTATTTTCATTAAATAAATAGTTAACATTCGTAGTTATATTGGGATACTGAAAATCTGGTTAAGTGAGCTGGGGCAAAAGATTTTTTTCCCCCACAATAGCCCATAATGATTATGGCTGGCCAGAATAAACCCTTACAGAATATTCTCTTTACCAATAATGCCTGCTTCAGAAGAGCCAATACTGAAACCAAACACAACAAAAATAAAAGACCACAACTTCTCAGATATAGATAAAACTTTATTCATACAGTTAAAAAAAAAAAAACACATGTCAGGAGTTCCTCTTTTCTAAAAACAGTCTTTTAATTGTAAAGTTCAAAATAAAAAGACTGGAAGGGGCAGTGTATAGCTTTTAAATTTTGTACATGTTACTATCACAGTTAAATAAGTTTTTAAGTTGCAAAACAAATACTTCTCCTACAGTAGGAAACACACGATCTTTTACAAATGCAGACCTGAGTCTCACAATGGCATCAAAAACAAAAGCAAAATAATATTTAAAGTAGAAGACTCAGCTGTTGACATTACATGGGTACTACTATTCTTATGTTAATTCTTCTTGGATATAATTCAGCAGAGAAATTTTTTTTCTCCCAACAACACTTATCATTACCATGGAAAAAGTAAAAAAGGGAATAAGGGTCATTTTTAGCTAGTTTAAAAATTATTTCCTGCGATACTACATTTTTGAATAAAAATATAAATATTATCTACCCTAAATAAATTCTGAAAAGTGCCATAATGTTTTGGGGTGAAATGATTCACATAAGAACTGCTAATCTATTCTGGAGCATGTAAGCCTCAGTACCCTGTAAAGCTCAACCTCATTCTAAAATCATTAAGTCAAAGAACCATTAAATGTTATTTTATGGTCAAGTGACCACTACATCCAAACAAAATTAAAAACTCTTAGTAAGACTGTGGCTTTTTTTTAAGGGCAGGCCTTAATTTAGTCTGTTTTGCCAAATACAAAAATGATTTACCTAGTAAGAATCTTATTATGCATACAGCCACCTTCTTTCACCTTTTGTCCAAAACAAAATAAAAAAAATAAACAATGCTCCCACAAAAAAACAAACAAATAAAAACAGAAACGCACCTGCCAAAGCCACCATTTGCTGACCTATAATGTGGTTACAATTTGAAGCATCTAAATCTGTCTGAGATGACAATTAAGAGAACCGGACAAAGTCAAGTATTTTCAGATACCATGAACTCAAATCAAATCTCACCTTCAACAGTAAAAAAATGTTAAAGTATCTACTCCACTTTATGACCTTAAGTGTTGCCTTCTTTTTCTTTTTCATTTTTAAATTTCTAAAGAGTTCAGTCTATAAAAGTTGGCCACGAAATTACAAGCTCTTATCAGAAAATGGCAATAATCCAGTTTTCTGCCAGATGGAGGAGAGATTTGGTTTAATGAGGCCTTCTGCGGCTTTGGAAGAGGAGAGGAGAAGTGAAGAACACCCTTCCATTCTTTCAAGTTCCAAACCCACTTTGTTCATTTATTCGTCAATGTTGTTTTTTGGGATTAGTCTTTCCGCAAGGGCCAAAAACCTCTGAGACTCATCTTACATTTTGTTAAAACTTCTCCAGGGTGGCACAAAAGAGCATAAGATCCAAGGGGCCCGTATGGGAGTAACTCATGGAAAGTACAAGTCAGAAACAAGAGGCTTCTCTCCCCTTTGTTCAGGTCATGGACACTCCAAGGGTGAGGGAAGAACTAGCAAATACCTGATACAGAAATATCGCCCAGCCCCCTTATGGTAAGGAAAGCAAAGCAAAAATAAGTATCCAAAGATGACATTTTTACATTAAATAATACCAAATTTTCACAAAAATATGTTAGGAATTTACATAAGGATGATGAACTACAAAATATTTCTTCCCTTCATTGGGAAAAACATAACAGAATTAAATGAAAGCAATGGCTGCTCTTGTATAAAACTTTTGTTTTCAGAAAATATTACCCACTAAATATCACATATTTAATCAAAAGGTTGCTCTGTTCAGTTCTGCTTAGACAAGAATACTTTTCAACTTGTTTAGGGGAATAATTCATCTTCTTAATAGCAATATTCCTTTAGCGGGCAACTGTTTACACTGATGTTATGGAAAATACCACTGTACTGTAATTTTTAGAAGAATAATTTGTACCATAATTTCACTTAACAATGTACTCAATTTTCATAAAGCTTAAATGAACTAGGAATCAGAATCTTTTTCCATTAAAACTTTTTGTTTCATCAAAACTAGAAGACAGAACAAGTGAAATTAACCTGCAAGAAAGTACAACTTCCTGATAATATGGTGGTTATAATTACAGATTTCCCATCTACATTTTTGCATTCAAGGGATTATTAGTTTGCTTCTTTAAAAAGACTATTCATGACTGATATAAAAGATCCATCCCCAATAAACTAGCTAAAAATTGTTAAATGTAAACGGGTAAATGAAGACCATCCAAAGCAAAGTTGAAAGATTCAGGCAGCTCTGGGTGGGATCAGAGTGGCTGAGTCTTGCAGATTTCACCCTGCTAATGGTTAATGGCATACAGATCACAGAGACTGAGTCTAAGAGACTTCAACACTGCTAATGGTTGATGGCATATAGATTATTCCTTAGACTACCTCCCCTAGAAATACCTATTAAAGTTGGAAAAATTAAAATATTTTTTCTTTAGCACATAACACAGAGATCCCTCATTCTGAGTTATAAACCAACAAATCAAAAAAGCGAACAACAAATAAAAAGCCCTGAGTGTCAAAACAAACTAATAACAAAACAAAACAGACAAAATTCCCAAACCCTCCATTTTTAAGCGGATGTGTATTCACCAGCTGTAATTTAGAAGGAAAAACTAATTTAAAATTCATGGATTTACTGTAAGCATCTGACTCACTTATTCCAGGACAGGTTAGTGGTATCTGACAAGGAGGCTCCAGGCTGTGGTAAAGACTGAGCGGACAGGCCTGTCCAGACCTTAGGGGGTACTTGAGAGACACCACAAAAATCAGACAACAAACAAACAAAAAACAAAACCCAAGTAATTATTTGAAGAAATAGCTAGGCTTCCTCAGAAGCCAAAGACATAGATTCTATTCCACATAAGAAACACTGACTGTATGTCTCCACATGACCTTGAAGGACACAACGAACAAGGTTAAGTGTGTATGTTTATAAAAACCAATCTCTAATTGTGAGAAGGCAAAACAAAGGAATAAAGGTGGACAGACAAACAAGAGTATTCTTCAACTTTTCTTCACTGCACAGGGAAATCCCCCTGAAGTAAGAATAAGAAAATCAAATAAGAAGTTGGAAAATATTTCTAACTTTAATTGTATTTTCCCTTAAACCCACATCTGAATATTAATGTAGGTTTTATACAATTAAAAATCACGAAGATTTTAATTTTAAGAAGCAGTCACCATTACTAACGCTTGTCAGACTGGGTTGTGGATGAATGATGTAATGGTTTTGAATCTTAACTTATACAGAACCTTTCAAAGCAATGAACATTTTCTAATTGTGATCAGGTGACGGTTGCATAACATGATGGATGTATCTGGTTTCACTGAATTGTACAAATGAGAGCTGTTGAACTGGCAAATGTTGTGTCGTGTATGTTTTACAAAAACAACAAAAAAGACTACCAGAAACTGCCTTTCTTTGTTCTTTAATAAAGCATGCATATTTACCCAAGCTTCAAATCACACTTTCCTTTGCCATTTCTCATAAACTGAACTTTCATTTTAGTACTTTTAATAGCAATTCCCTGTTATGTTACTACAAGGGCAAAGCTGCTTTTCCAGTAAACCACTTTTTTTCCCCTACAATACTGAAATTACCAGAAATCATGGTTTACTTATAAAAGAAATATTTGTAGGTTTATAATCTATTTTATTAAAAAAAGAGATGTTTACAATTATTTATAGATAAAATAATAGAGTATTTATAAAAATTAAAATTGATCAGTTATCAAAATATACCCCATTGAAATATACTTACTTATAAAAACATACTGCCTTTGCCATGTGAAAATCTGGTGTTCAGTTCTCTAGATTTCTTTATTAGAGCTTTTTTCTGAGCTTCATCAAACAGATTAACCTTGAGATCCTTATCACGGTCAAATGGTATTCTCTCTTGGGGCTTATTTTTATCTTCAGCAGCTTTATTCTTTAATTTTTTATGATGTATGTCCATAAGAGATTCTGTTCTTTTTGAGTCCTGGGGAGAGCAAGATAGCAGAAATAAAAATCTCAGTTTGTACAAATTATTGACAGAATATGATCACAAAACAAAATAATTAGGTAGTAATGGCGAGCATCAAGAAGGGCTGTTTACAAATCCAACAGGTTTTTCCAAATCCAAGATAGCATTTATGAAGAAAATGTTATCAGAGGCAAATTCAATTCAACCATAATGAAGACGTCTACTAACTATACGCTAGACAATAAAAAAAAGTGTAAGACAGAGGAAACAAACATTTAGATAACCATAACGAAAAGCATCATGTGAAGTGTCAAAGTTAACGTATGAACCAAGAACACGGATGTGAAAGGAAGAGCAATAACACTTGCACTTGGGAGCCTGGTTAAAGCTTCCTGGATGCGCTGGTCCTTGAAGCCTGAACTGGATTTTACCAAGTGGATGGGAAGGGAAGGGCACTGCTAGGCTGAGGCAAAACCAGGGCAAAACAGAGAAATAAGGGCACAGAAGTGGCAATATTCAAGACCTGGGCAGGGTATGTTGGTGTGTTTTATAAGCTGGGAAATTTCCGTTCTCTCAGTTTTCTTTCTCTTTTCCCTCACTTCCCTCCTTTTCTTTCTTCTTAGTTGGGGTCTGTTCACATTTTCAGATACGTATAGCAGGATGAGGCCTGAGCAAAGGCAATTGGTTTAATGAATTAGGGATTCACTGTAGAACTTTCAGTATTTTTACCTTAATAGAATGGCACTGGATTAAAGAAGCAGTGAAGAGGATGGAGGAGTAGATGCAGGTAGTACAGACCAGCAGTCTTCAAGATGGGGGATATGTCCCAACATTACTGGCATGAATCAAAAAGACAGAAAATAACAAATGATGTAAAGGCCGTGGGGAGACTGGAAGTCTTATACACTGCTGATGGGAATGTAAAATGGTACAGCCATTTTGGAAAACGGTATAGTGCTTCCTTAAAAAGATAGAAACAGAAATACCATATGATCCAGCAATCCCACTCCTAGGAATATATCCTAGAGAAATAAGAGCTGTCATATGAATAGACACATGTATACCCATATTCTCTGCAGCATTTATTCACGATAGCAAAAAGATGGAAACAATCTAAGTGCCCATTAACAGATGAATGAACAAATTATGGTACATATACACATTGGAATAGTATGCTACGATAAAGAACAATGATGAATCTGCAAAACCTCGCATAACATGGATGAGTCTGGAGGGCATTATCTGAGTGAAATAAGTCAATCACAAAAGGACAAATACTGTATGAGACCACTATTATAAAAATTCATGAAAAGGTTTCCACACAAAAGGAAACAATCTTTGATGGTTACAATGGAGGGGAGGGTTAGGGAGGGAAAAACACTAACTAGACAGTAGATAAGTGGTAACTATGGTGAAGGGTAAGACAGTACACAATACTGGGGAAGTCAGCACAACTTGACCAAGGAAAGGTCATAGGAGCTTCATAGATACATCCAAATTCCCTGAGGGACCGAATTACTGGGCTGGGGCTAGGCACCACAGTCTCGGGGGACATCTAGCTCAACTGGCATAACATAGTTTATAAAGAAAATGTTCTACATCCTACTTTGGTAAGTAGCATCTGGAGTCTTAAAAGCTTGTGAGTGACCATCTAAGATACTCCATTGGTCCCACCCTGTCTCAAGCAAGGGAGAATGAAGAAAACCAAAGACACAAGAGAAAGATTATTACAAAGGACTAATGGACCACAACTACCACAGCCTCCACCAGACTGAGTCCAGCAAAACTAGATGGTGCCTGGCTACCACCACTAACTGTTCTGACAGGGATCACAACAGAGGGTCCCAAGCAGAGCTGGAGAAAAATGTAGAACAAAATTTTAACTCACCAAAAAAGACCAGACTTACTGTATGACAGAGACTGGAGAAACCTCGACAGTATGGTCCCCAGACATTCTTTTCAATCAATACCGAAGTCACTCCTGAGGTTCACCCTTCAGCCAAAGATTACACAGACCCATAAAACAAAACGAGACTGAATGGGCACACCAGCCCAGGAAAAGGATGAGAAGACAAGAGGGGACAGGAAAGCTGGTAATGGGGGACCTTGAGCAATGGGGAACCCAAGGTCGCGAAGGGAAGAGTGTTGACACGTCATGGGGTTGGGAACCAATGTCTCAAAACAGTATGTGTATTAATTGTATAATGAAAAACCAATCTGCTCTGTAAACCTTTATCTAATGCACAAAGAAAAAAAAACGGGGGGCAGGGGGGTATGTGTATCCCTGGGAGTTATACGGAGTAAATTCCACGGGGTATGAAGGCATGGATGATTTTAAGGCACTCAACCCAAGTGCCCAACATCCTTTACGCAGCCTTTCTTAAAATCGATTTGCTGGACAAAATGTCAACTGAAGGTGCTTCCCCTTTCATTCCAGCCCTCATCCCACTTGGCAAAGGAGATGTGTAACATTCCCCAACTATGGAATATGGCCTAGGGGAGTTACAGCCTCCAGGGCATCAAACAAAGGGATAACCTGAAACAGTATGAGTGAAACTTCAGTCAAGAAAGTAAAACCCAGAAAGGTTTTGTGTCCTTCTGAGTCTTAAACGTATTTCTCTTAAGAGTGTGGTGCCCTTCAGAGATGAGTTTGTTGGCTCTTGTTGGGGTGTCCAAGAGTAGGGCAACAGAAGAAAGGATAATTTTTGCTTAACAACCACATCTCTTCCAGGCCCTGCCCATTGTGTCAAAGACTTTACTTGAGAGCAAAGAAGTGAAGAGAGTTCAGTGAAAGCAAAATAAGGAGACACCAAGACACTGGTAAGAATGTTGAAGATGGCAGCATCTTATTTCATCCAGAAGACAAACTCAGGGCACTTCCCTTCCCTCTCCTTACATACTTACATTAGAATTCAGAAGTGTCAAAGGAATGATCATTAACACATTTTTTTTTTAAACAGAAAAATGAAGTCGGACTTTCTGACAGAACCTAAGCATGGCAGCTCACTTGAAAATGAGAACTGGTTCTGTCAATCAGTAGACATTTTCCATATATTAAATGAGCTCAGTCTGGAACTCCCAAACTTTAACAGAACGTACAGAAGATATCAGTGAATATGTATTTAAATTAGCACTATTTCAATTTTCCCAATCCCTACTCAGTATATAATAAATGAAGTACCTCATAGTAATTTCATAAATCTTGATAAAAGTCTTTTAGAAACAAATTAATTTGCAAGTTAAGTTCTTTCTTATTCTTTATTTTCAACAAAATTTAAAGAGGTTAAAAAAAAATCACCAAATATGGCTAAGAAAAAATAGGCTTCAACACATATATCAATACGTTTAGTATGAGTATAGTCTATGGGTGGCACAAATGGTTAAGTGCTCGACTACTAACTGAAAGGCTGGTGGTTCAAACCCAGCCAGAGGCAACCGGGAAGACAGGCCTAGAAATCTGCGTTTGAAAGATCGCACCCTTGAAAACCCTATGGAGTGGTTCCAACGTGTGCACATGGGGTCGCCATGATTAAGTTTTGAATTCAGACAAAACTGGGCTGCAGTGATGGTCCTGCTCCTTTCAATACTAGAAACCTTGGGCAAGTAATTTATGCCTCATTTTCCCAGCTGTAAAATGGTGGTAATAACAGTAACAATTTCAAAATATTTGGGTGGAGAAGGAGTTAAATGATGTAATGAATACAAAGTGTTTACAATCATCAATAAATGTTAAGTGTTAGATTTATTGAGCATTTATTATATTGTAATCCTTACAATATCTTTGTAAGTTAAATGTTATTATTCCTATTTTACAGATTTGGAAAGAAACAAAGAGAAAATAAACTAATGTGACCAATGTGGAAAAAAAAAAAAATCAAAGGAGGTCCTAACGAGTTAACAGCTGAGAGATCATTAGCAATCATCTTTATTAATAGATCACTATGAGGTTTAAGAAAATAATTCAGAAATTGTTCAAACAACTGAATGACACTGTTATAACAAAATGGGTTCCATTCGTATCCATTTATTTATGTAAATAAGTTTTCTTAACTCTTACAGCCATAAAAACAAAAGAATATATTTGATGCTGAAATTTGTTTCATTCTAGCAATAAGCAACACCTATCCAAAATCAGGAACTAATAGGAAAAAAAGTCCTTTGTTAAGAGTTAAATTTACATTTTACTTGTTACGCTTAACAATCATTTATCAAAATTTGCAATATATTTATATTGTTTTGATCAAGTGAATTCACAACTCAATTCAGAAGAAAAAGTGTGTTAACACTAAAAGACAGACAAAAGAAATTAAAAAAATTTCAATTTATGTGCATATTTTTGTTACAGCAAAATATGATATCAATATGATCATAAAAGACTTTCAAGCATAAAAGTAAATTCCATTAGGATAAAAATCTATAGCCGAAGAGAAATGAAAATATGAATTCAAGGGGAAAAAAGGATGAAATAAAGTTTCCAGCTGTTAAAAGAACTTCTTCATGTTTATTCTTCAATGGATAATCTAAAAAAAGAAAAAACCAAACCCACCGCTGATGAGTCGATCTCGACTCATAGCAACCCTATAATATAGAGCAGAACTGCCTCATGGGGTTTCCAGGTTGCAGATGGTGGATTCAAACTGCCAACCTTTCGGTTAGCAGCCAAACTCTTAACGACTGTGCCACCAGGGCTCCTTAATGGATAACAGTAGATATCAAATTGTGATGGCATTTGGACTCCATTTGAAACATGTAATAGAGAGTAATATAATATGCTAATGTAATGTAATATATAATTTACATGTTGGTAACTACTTAAAGTCTATGAAAATTTTAGATGTTAAGTTAAAAATGTGCATCATTTTTCAAATTTCTTTTAGGGGATACTGTCATGGTTTGAATTGTGTCTCCCAAAAATATCTGTCAACTTGTCTAGGTCATGATTCCCAGTATTGTATGATTGTCTACCATTTTGTCATCTGATGTGATTTCCCTATGTGTTGTAAATCCTATCACTATGATGGAATGAGATGGATTAGTGATGGTTATACTGATGAGATCTACAAGATTAGATAGTGTCTGAAGCCAATCTCTTTGAGATATAAAAGAGAGAAGCAAGCAGAGAGACGTGGGGACTTCATACCACCAAGAAAGCAGTGCTGGGAGCAGAGCGTGTGTCCTTTGGACATGAGGTTCCTGTGCTGAGATGCTCCCAGACCAAGGGAAGACTGATGACAAGGGCCTTCTCCAGAGCTGACAGAGAAAGAAAGCCTTTCCCTGGAGTCGGTGCCCTAAATTCAGACTTCTAGCCTACTGGACTGTTAGAGAATAAATTTATCTTTGTTAAAGCACTCCACTTGTGGTATTTCTGTTATAGCAGCACTAGATAACTAAGACAGATACCAAACAAAAATACTTGAAAACCACTGGCCTCCAATCCTGAGTGATGGAAGAGAAATACAAATTCCTCAGCCCCACTATAGATTTAGTGAATTAAAATAGCTAATGGTAGGTCTCAGAGACCCATGCTTTTAAAAGACACGCAGGTTCTCAGCAGGTGATCTAACGAATGTGGGCCGCACTGTGTAGGTCACGTTTCTAGTAGTTTGGTAGTACGAGAGAGAAGAGAGGATGAACAACAAACAAGAGGTGGAGTAGGGTTATTTTAATTTAGGATGGGGAACTACAATGCTATATGAATATAATTATATATAAATGTATGAAGTAAGTAAAAAAGCTATATTATAAAAACACGATTTTTTAGCACCATTTCCCCACATTTTTCTCCACTTTCCCTGCTTCCACATCTTTCCCTGCTAATGAGATAATACTAACTCATTAATGAGATAATGACAACGAAGGCTGACAGGCTAACAAGAGTTGGACGGGGAAGGCTGGAAGGTATAAAAAAGAGCTGGAGAAAACAAAGCACAAAGTTTGGAGGACATGAGTGGAGGTGTGACAAAGAATGGACTTGCAGAGGCCACACATTACCTAAAGCCACTGCTGAGAAAAATGATTTATACTGATGAGTAAAAACTGTACGGAATACAAAACATAACAAAAGCAAATGAAAATAGAGAGAAAAAGATGATAGGTTTCAACTTACTGATCTCCTAATCAGTAAATTAAATATCAATATAGACAGAAGAAAAGATTAAACCACAGGCTATGTCATGGATTGAATTATGTCCCCCCAAAAATGTGTGTATCAACTTCACTGGGTCATGATTCCCAGTATTGTATAATTGTGTACCATTTTGTAATCTGATATGATTTCCTTATATGTTGTAAACTCTATCACTATGATGTAATAAGATGGATTAGCAGCGGTTATATTGATGAGGTATACAAGATTGGATAGTGTCTTAAGCCAATCTCTTTTGAGATATAAAAGAGAAGCGAGCAGAGACACATGGGGGACCTCATAACACCAAGAAAGCAGTGCCGGGAGCAGAGCACTGAGGTTCCTGTGATGAGATGCTCCCAGACCAAAGGAAGACTGATGCATCACAAGGACCTTTCTACAGAGCCGACAAAGAGGGAAAGCCTTCCTGGAGCTGATGCCCTGAATTTGGACTTGCAGCCTACTAGATTGTGAGAAAATAAATTTCTCTTTGTTAAAGCACTCCATTTGTTGTATTTCTGTTACAACAGCACTGGATGACTAAGACAGGCCACTATAGTCAATTCAAATAATCCAAGTTCTCAAATATATTATGACAAAAGAAACAAACGTTTCTACCAGTTGTTCGGGTGCATTACTGTTGGTCTGGTTTAGTGTAATTTGCACACTGATGTACATGTGACCAAACAAATTCTAGAATTCTAGAAAATACTACTACAAACATCCAGGAGCAGTCGATTCACTAAAAATCAATAAACTGAAAACCATTTAATGTATAGATCAACTTGCAAAATAGCCATTTGCTGACTTAACCAAATTGAATCATTTAACAAAAATGTGTCCTTTTTTTAAAAACATTTTATAAAATTTAGAGTAATTCATCCTGAATGGGAAGATTTTTAAACGACTTTTGAAAATTCATGCTAAGTTTCTAGTCGACTAGTTTTTATTTTTTTCTTCATGTAGTATTTTAAAGTGTTAAATTTATCAAAAGCTAAAGGTCATAGAGTGGCTTAGTCTTAAGATTACAGTAACACTTTGAAAATGTCTTAAGATTATAGTAACATTTTGAAAGGTAAATCTCATCACAAGTAAACAAAATTTCAGCATAAGATTAGAACCCTAATATTTTTATGCATATTAAAGTAAATTACAGACATCAATACATGTCCCCTTAAATACTTCAACATGCATTTCATTAACTAGGGTTCAATACTTGATTATAATTTTTTTCTTTTGAGAAAAATTTATATACAATGAAATGCACAAATCTTAAGTGTACATTCACTGAATTTTGTAATCCAAACTCCTATCAAGATCGAGAACACTTTCATCACCCCAGAAAGCTCTGCAGGCTCCTTCCCAGTCAGTCTTTGCATTCACACTCCAACAACCACCATTCTGATTTTTTTTCCACCATAGATTCATGTCATGGATTGAACTGTGGCCCCCCCAAAATACGTGTCAACTTGGTTAGGCCATGATTCCTAGTATTGTGTGGCTGTCCTCCTTTTTGTGATTATAGTTTTCCTATGTGTTCTAAATCCTAACCTCTGCCTGTGGTTAATGAGGCAAGATTAGATTATGTTAAAGAGGATTAGGGTGGGATTATAACACTCTTACTAAGGTCACACCACTGATCCAATGTAAAAGGAGTTCCCCTGGGGTGTGGCCTGCATCACCTTTTATCTTACAAGAGATAAAAGGAAACAGAAGCAAGTGGGGGTGAGACCTCATATCAGAAAGAAAAGCAGAGCTGGGAGCAGAATGCATCCTTTGGATCCAGGGTTCCTGCACGGAGAAGCTCCTAGTCCAGGGGAAGACTGATGAGAAGGACCTTCCTCCAGAGCCAACAGAGAAAGCCTTCCCCTGGACCTAACGCCCTGAATTTGGACTTCTAGCCTACTAGATGTGAGAAAATAAATTTCTCTTCGTTAAAGCCATCCACTTGTGGTATTTCTGTCATAGCAGTACTAGACAACTAAGACAATTTGTTTGCCTGTTCTAGAGCTTAACAGAAATGAAATCATACAGTATGTACTTGCCTGTGTATGCAAGCATAATGACTTTGAGATTCATCCGTGTTGTTGCATTTATTAGTAATTTGTTCCTTTTTATTGCTGAATAGCATTTCATTGCATACCACATTTTGGTTTTTCATTCTCCTATTGATGAATACTTGGGTTGTTTACTGTATTTAGTTATTATGAATACAGTTTTTATGAACACTCTTATATAAATCTTTTTGAGGCATTTATGACTAAAGCTATTATAAACATTCATGTTCAAGTCTTTGCGTGGAAATATATTTTCACTTGTCTTAGGTGAATACCTAGGAATGGAACTGCAGGGTCATAGGGTAGGTGTATGTTTAGTTTTAAAAGAAATGCCGGTTTGAAATACAGAATTACCATATGACCCTAAAATTCCAGTCCTATGTATATACCCAAAAGACTTGAAAGCAAGGAAGCAAACAGATACTTGTATACTAGGTGTTCCCTGCATTATTCAAAATAGCCAAAAGGTGGAAAAAAACCCGTGTCCATCAACAGATGAATGGATAAATAAAATATGGTATATCAAAATAATGGAATATTATTCAGTCATAAAGAGGAATGAAGTTCTGATATATGCTAAGACATGGGGGAACCCTGAAACCCTTATGCTGAGTAAAGCAAGTCAGATACAAAAGGACAAATATTGTATGATCCCACCTACATGAAATATCTAGACTAGGCAAATCCATTGAGACAAAAGATTAGTGGTTACCAGGGGCAGCACAGGGCTTTTAAGTTATATTGATTCTGAATTTTAACTCAAATTCCTTGTGGTCAGAGAACATGTTATGAATGACTGGGATTCTTTGAATTTTGTTGAGATGTGACTTTTGAAATGGTCAGTTTTCATAAATGTTCCATGTGGGTATAGGTTTTAGACACTGTCCAAAAATGTTTCACCATTCCTGGTGAAACTTTGTTCCTTAATGTTTATGGAACTTTTCATTACCTAATACATGGTGAACAGAAGGTAATTTTCCTGAACAACTAAACACTTCTCAGTAACCAGAGGGTTCAGTGATTTATTCTTTGAGTTAGAACACTCTCCAGCTTTTTCTAAAAGTAAGAGAGATTATAACAGAATAATAATATGCCAAATGAATACTGACCTACTTAGTTTATATATTTAGATTGAATCATGTTTTAAAACCATTTTTTCTCTTGTATTTAAATCTTAGATTTCTCCCATTTTAAAATCTTTACATCAAATACTCCGAATCTGCTTGTAATTTAAAAACTCATAAACTGAAGATCTCTATGAGTTGTCAGGGCTCTGGCTTTCTGGTCAAGTACTGCCTATATCCAGTAGTTAAATTTCTGATGTATGACTTAAAATAAAAATTGGAAACATTACGTGAAAAGCATTTTAAAAATCCTACACAACCAAGTAGAGTATTTTTCAGGACAGATGTATAGAAAAAAGACCGAGGTATAGAGAAAGACATATAAGAAAAAAAAAAAAAAAAAACAAGAAAGAAAAAAAAAAAACAAGAAAGGAATTAAAAGATACAAAAATTAAAGGGTTATACATTTCATTTCCTTACTTACATTGTATGAGGATACCTGCTCTGCCAATCTCTTATCCCTTCCTGACAATACATGTTCTTCGTCCTTCTTACTGAATGACTTCCTTGCTTCTTGTGTTTCCTGAGGAATGAACACAGGTAACATGTACTTACTGAACCATGTCTTTATAAGTAAATAAAAAAGGAATACATATTATTTTTGTTTAGATAGAGTTACTAGAAACTAACCTAAACCAATAAAACTGTCTTTTTTATTCACAGAATAAAGTACAGACAGAAATCCCCAAAAAATCTACAAAAAAAAATTTCTGAAACTAGTGAGTGAGTATAGCAATGCTGTAGGATATCAGATCAATACACAAAACTGCTTTCCTATATACCAACAATGAACAACTGAAATTTGAAATTTAAAAAACAATACTATCTATAATAGCACACACATAAAAATGAAGTTCTTAGATACAAATCCAACATATCTTAATTAGAAAGAAACACTGCAAAATATTCTAGAAATTTTAGTTGGGACAAGGATGGGCATGGCCCACATAAAAATGGTTGAAAACCACTGTTTTTAAAGCATATTTTTATACTACTATTATCTGATGAAGAAAACCAAGGAGACCCTCATACAATTTTTATCTTAACAACAAAGTAAAATAACATTGTATTTAATAAAGTACATTAAAAATAAAGGAATATTTCACTGCAGCATTATTCACACTAGCCAAAAGGTCCAACAACAACCCGCATGGCCATCAACAGATGAATAAATAAACAAAATGTGGTCATACATACAGTGGAATATTATTCAGCCACAAGGAGAAATGAAGTTCTGATATATGCTATGACAATCGATAAACATTGAAAACATTATGCTAAGTGAACTAAGGCACAAAAGGACAAATACTGTATGATCCCACTTACGTGAAGTATCTACAATAGGCAAATGCATAGAGACGGAAAGTGGTTACTAGGGACAGGGGCTGGGGGGTGGGAGTGGGAAGTTATTGCCAAGCTTCTGCTTGGGATGATGAAAAAGTCTGGAAATAGTGATAACGACTGGAAAAACTATACATCTAGGAATAGCTCATTTCTTATTTTTTTATAAAAAAATTTTCCAGAAAACAGATGCTTTTACTTGTTAAGTATTAAGAGAAAAATGACTTTATGGTAAAACGGAGATTAAAAACCAGAACATTTAATGTTAAGACATAGTGGCTCTAGTCAAGACTGGGAGGTGAAGACATAACAGATCCCGAATTTGTGCATAACATTCTCTTCTCTTTCTAAAGAGCAATTGCACTTCTTTCAAGCCATGAGACTGTAAGTGGTATGGAAGATGGATGGTGGTCAATCAAATATACAAAATAAGAAGCAGAGAAAACCTATCAAGAAGGAAATCTGGCTAAGATCTTTTACAAAAATTAGTCATAAACTTTAGGCTGGATCAAAGATCAAAGACCCAGGACAGCAGACAGCTCTGTGATACTATAAAGTTTATGACACAAATATAATGCTGTAGAGATAGTCTCAAAGGCTGTTATAAAAACTGCAATATGTTATCTTTATAAAACACGAGCTAGGAAAGAGCAGACAGGCATCTCAATGCTAGCCTTTCAAGGTGTGTGGCTCATTTCTACACCACATCTCTACTGCCTCTTCTACCCTATGGATGTTGGTTCACCTCATCTTTCTATTACAGCTCTCAGATTTCCTTTAATCTTCAGATCAAAAGACAACTCATGATGCTGCCACATACTCAGGGTATGGTGCTAAAATGTGGAGACTTCAACATACCAGCCACATTTTAGGAATAACTGTCTATTTCACAATCAATTCTCCACTAAAATGAGAAGTCCTTAAGGAGCTCTTTCATCTTTCTATAACCTGCAACCAAGCACAATGTCTGGCTGACTGGGTATTCAACTTATGGTTACAAATCAAAATAGAAATCCTGATAATTCTAGGTGCTGATGAACAGGATAAACAGAGCTAGGGTGATGAACTCAGTATGGAACTGTTTACATCAGTACTGATGAAGCTATAATCTTAAGGTGACGATCAGTCAAGCCTTTAAGACGTGAATGGGACATCTTAAGGGAATAAAAATCATTAGAATAAACTTAAGGAATAGTGCTAGAAGCACTGGTTCAACTCCTAAAATACAATGGAATGTTTCATAATGAACAGAAAGATTCAAGAAGAGAAAATCTAAAAATAATAAGATATCCTTCCCCACCTACTGACATCTGGCTGATTTGCAGATTCCCAAGTTTAATGTATTAATGAAAACACTTCTTATTTATCTTGACAGTAACATGAAACTTAGTACACCTGAGAAACAGTTATTTTGAGGGTTTCAATGCATCACTGAATGTGCTGTGTTAATCTGCAGCTTTGGTTCTTCCCAAGAAGAAATCTTGTGATCTTAAAGTATTACAAGATATTTTTAAAGATGATTTCATGGAGAGTACAAAACTGTATAAAGACGAGAGAATACAGAGTTAGAAAGGTCTAGAATGAAATTTTTGTTCATCATTTACCAGCTGTGACCCTAGAAAAGCTGACCTCATAGAGATTAGTTTCTCCATCCACAAAATGGAGTCAATAAACCTACGTCTCAGGGTATTCTTGAGATTTAAATGAGACAACTTACTGGCAAATAGCAAGCAATTAACATCACTTTCCTTCCTCATAACTCTCCTTCAGAATCATAAAGTTTTAAAAATACCCATTGCTGTCGAGTTGATACTAATTCATTAAGACCCTACAGGAGTAGAACTGCCCCATAGAGTTTCCAAGGCTGTAAATCTTTACAGAAGCAGATTGCCACGTCTTTCTCCCGTGGAGCAGCTGGTGGGTTTGAATCACCGGCGTTTCGGTTAAGCAGCCGAGCGCTTAACCACTGCACCATCAGGGCTCCTCTTTTTCAAAATAGTACCCTTAAATACTTTTCCCTTATATCTTTTCAAAATACAGCCAACATGGACAGAAATAAACGAACAAACTAAACCTCTCACTTTAGCTTTCCTTTCTCTGTCAGCTGGAGTATCTGTCCAAATCGATCGATCTCCAGATTTGTCATCAGCTCTTCTCTTAAATGTTCTTGGCCCAAGACCAAAGTCTTTCATTTCTGGAGGAAGCTCAGTCATCCATGACTCCCTTGTAATTGGTTTAGGTGAATCCTTTAAGAGAAATAAGAAGTTTAACAACAACAAAAAAGGTAGCATGGAAAGTAGTATATCCTTAATACTGTACAAGGGGCTATGCTTCTTCATTGAGGTTTTAAAGGTAACAATTATAGAAAGGACTAATGTTCTTACATCCTTGGCAATACTGAATGTTATCTTTTTAATATTTTGCTAATCTGATAAACAAGACTTTGCATTTTTGCTTTAAGTTGAATTTTTCATTCTACTGAGGTTGAGCATCTTTTCAAATGCTTATTAGCTCTTTGCACTTCCTATTGTGTACAGCCTGTTTATGTCCCTTGCAAATTTTTCTAATGGACTGATGTTTTTCTTACCAATCTACAGGGGCTCTTTGCTTTGGTAGTTATCAGTCCTTTGTCACATACGTTACAAATACTTTCATCCAATCTATAATTCTTTTGACTCCATGCTATCTTTTGCCATACAGAAATTTTTACATAAACAAATTTGCCAATCTTTTTCTTTATAGCTTCTGGTTTATAATTTTCTATTTCTTTCAATAATGTTTTATTGTGTTTAATGTGAAAGATTACACGGCAAATTCGGTTCCCATTTAACACTTTCTACACCAATTACTTAGTGATACTGGTTACATTTTCACAATGTACCATCATTCTCATTCATTCTGTTCTGGTTGTATCATTTCCAGTACTCTGGTTTCCCTGCCCCCTTACCTTCTCATCTTTGCTTTAAAGTAATTTTTGACCATTTGATCCCTTATAGGTGCTTTTTAAGAGGAGCTCATTACTCACGGGTAGTATTCTTTATTTTATGAACCAATCTGTTATCTCGTGAAAAGGTGACCTCAAGGGATAATTTTGATTTAAGATTTAACACACATTCTTTTTTTTTTTTTTGAGTTTTTAAAAAAAATATTTATTTTGTTGTTGCTGTTGTTGAGAATATACACAGAAAATCATATATCAAATCAAGAGTTTCTACAATTCAATGACATTGATTACATTCAAGTAGTGCAACCATTCTCATCTTCCTTTTCTAAGTTGTTCCTCCCTCGTTAACATAAACTCATGGTCCCCTAAGGTTTCTATCTAATCGAGTTGTTGTTGTCAATTAGATCCCATACAGATAGTTCTTAAAAAAGCACAATGCTTAAGGTAGATATTTTTTACTAGTTAAGCTGAACTATTGTTTGGTTTTAAGAAGACGTCAGTGGATATTTTTGGTTTAAGGTTTAAAGATTACCTCAGGGCAATAATTTCAGGTAATTTTCTTTTAACATATATGTATATTTTAAAATTTTGTTGTTAAAATTTAGATTTTTAATGCATGCAGTCTGTCTCACTGAGTAAAGTACATTTAAAACTTACATCATCTCCTCTAGTCAGCTTTTCTTTCATTCTCTGGGCCCTTTTTTCAAACTCTGTTGTTACACTGTAGTTAACTGGTCCTTTTGCAGGCATTGGTCCAACAATGTCCTCATCATCTTCACTGCTATCTGTTTCCTTTTAAAACAAGATATTACCTTTAAATTAAGAGCAGAGTTACAGGTTATAGAATATGATCCTAAATTACTTAAAATTTAACTTAAATTGACTACTAATAGATAATTAAACAGAAAAACAAACAACACATTGCTGGCTAATCACTGAACAATGAGAATCTTCACTCTGCCTTCCAAGGTTTGCCAAGAAAGGCAAAACCAATTTTAGAAACGACTTGTACCCAATAACTCAAGTGCATACATAGTACAGAAATGACAAATACATGGTGTGTGGGCTGTCACATCTCCTCTATGTCCATAGTTGTCACTGTTAGCTGCCACGAGTTGGCCCCTGCCTCATGGCGATCCCAGTAGACCTCATCAAATTATTTCAGTTCTATCCTGATGGACATAGATGTGTCCTCAGAATTTTTCTCAACATAGTATTCCAGGTAGCTGCTACCAATTTGTCAGAGTTGACATAAGTTGAAAACTATTTTTTATTCCTGGCACATACAAAGCTCTTTGTAATAAGATGTACACAGTAAAGCATTCTTGGAAGCTGTACCAGCCTTCATGATTCAGTACTGTCCACTGAAATAGAAATGTGCATGAACTCATGAAATCCTGACCCAAATGAATCCCCACTTACCACCCCAAAGATGTAACAGTATTGTAATAAGTGAATTCAATTTGTTCGTATTAAATCATTTTGATAAAGGGTTTTCATGCATGATTCTGTGTGCGATGCTATATTCACTAAATTTAAAGGCAGTTCTTACCCTCAAGTAGAAGACACATTAATAACAATGACATACGTGTCTTCTAGCTCAGAGAGGCAGCTTCTTCCTATTGGTTTTCATACTACCAGGATCAGGAGTTCATTTGTATTGCTTTTGTTTTCCCCACTACTCTATAACTTTCTGTAATTTCTTCTTTGAACCCTTATAGCAATTGCTACTTGTACAAATAATTTGAAAATTTTAAGTTGTCTTTTTGCTTACTCTAAGCTACATACACACACATGTATGGATTTTGGCATACAATGCCTTATTTGATCCTCATAGCAAAACTGTGAATTGGGTATTATTATTGCTGTTTTCCTTTCGAGGAAACGTAGGCTTAGAAAAATATATTTAGAAAGACTGAACAACTAGCTGAAAGGTTGGCGGTTCGAACTCACCCAGAGGCACCTTGGAAGACAGACCAGGCAATCTGCTTCTGAAAGGTCACGGCCTTGAAAACCCCATGGAGCAATTCTACTATGCACACATGGGGTTGCCACGTGTCGCAATTAACTGAATGGCAACCAACAACAACAAACAGACACAAATACTTGGTGAAATAAACTGATCAGATATAAAAGATACAATGAACTTTGAAAATTATAAGAAACGTGGTATCAGTATGGCATTAGGGTCTGAGATGATGAAATAAGCTCATGGTATTTTTACTTTCATCTAATAACAGATGGTTTTATGAAGGTAGAATTTCAGCACACTTTGGCAGGATGCTGTCTGAAATTTTTATAAATAAAGATGACTTAGGATGTTGGGAGACATAAACTAAATACGGGAATGGAGAAGTAAACAGAAAACTAGGCCCAACACACAAAGCTGAAAATGAGAAGCCAGAATATAGGTATTAAATTCTAGGTTTTAAATCATTTTAGTGTCCCAGACAAGGTATTTCTTTAAATTTTTTTTAAAAAGGATTTCTCCCCCCCTAAATACAATGGAAATTATGTACCCTACTAGTGTACAGTTTGGGCTGCAGAGTCAGAACTAGTTTCAAGCCTTAATTTGCCACTGTATTACCCCTGTGCCCATAGGTATGGTTCTCAGCCTTGGTTTCCCTTGTCTCTTAAATGGGGATTATAACAGCTCCAACCAGTAATTCCTGTGTTACCATGAGAACCCTGCATTTTGTTTACCCTTTTTGAAGCCATACCCTTCTAAGGACACTGGAGACTGTATCTAACTCTTAGGAAAGAATGCTGATAATTCTAAACCAATCACTTTGGTCTCATTCCTCTTGACCAACTGGGTGGCTTAGATGTCGCCATATGATACAATTTTGGTCAAAGAGACATGAAAGGTGGTCTACTGGAAACCTTCCGGAAAGGTTCTCTTTGCTCTAAAAAGGGGCACAGGATAGGGACTGCTCTCCTTCCTGTGTCTGGTGGACATTTTTGTGTGTGGATCTTAGAACTGTGGCAGCCTTCATGGTATAATGAAGGAAGTCAGCTTAAGGCGACAAATGAACGTGCAGCAGTAGGTGACAGAGCACAAAGGTGAAAAGAACCTGAGCCCTTGGTGATGTCATTAGGCTGCTGAATTAACCAACCCTGGAATGACCACACCTCCAAACCTCTTACTATGTGTATTAAAAATATTTTCCTTATTTGAGAATAAAGAACATATATCACCAAGGGTATTACATAAACAACCCATTTGCTAACTAAGTAGGTTAAGACAAAGTTCCATTTTAAGTTGGATCTTCTGTTATTTGCAGCTGAAAGCATTCTAGCTGATAAACCACCTCCCAGAACTGTTTGGATTAATTTATGCATGCAATGCACTTTGCAGTATCTAGCTTGTGGTAAGTGCGCAACAAATGTTAACCATTTGTATTATTGTGCATTCTTAATTTGTGGGTATATGTTGTGAATGGGATTAAGAGAAGCCCCTCTTTGAGAACGAAAAGTATGAAAACAAAAATAGAAGTTGTGTTGTGAGATTGTTAACCATTGTCATAGGGCAACATTTGTAGTAACTGTTAAATAAGAAACTATTTTGTTCTGTAAGCCTTCATCTTAAGTGA